ACCCCAACCCCATTCATTAAAAAATGAACAAAAATGCACACCCCATCCAAAAATCCCCACAAAGTCCCATTCAAAATGTTAAATGAAAAGAGCCCTCCTCCTTCCAAAAAGTCCCATTAAACATGCAAATCTTCCTTCAAGCAATCCTCTGCATTTTTGCTAAACCCTTTCAGTCAATGGGCTCTTCCTGGGCCTCATCAACATCCAACTCTGAGTCTTCCTCTTCAGTGTCACTGTCCAGCCTTGTTGAGGATGGCTCTGTGTCAGGCTCAGAGACCCTTAGGTTTGACCGAATGCCAACCAGTTTTTCCACTCTCACATTTGTGAGCCTGTTGTGAACCTTTGTGTGGTCTCAATAGCCATGCAGTAAGCAGTGTGCCATGGCATGGATATTCAAGTGTACTTGAATGGCATCTGTTTGTTTTAGTCAAGATTATGCTAAAATATACTTTCCCCAACTATATTTAAGTTCCCTATGAAGAGCTAACCTTCAATTTAGAAAATTCCCAGTTTATTCCCATAAATTCCCGTGGAAAGTTTCCATCTTTGAAAATTCCCGGAATTTTGCAACCCTAATCACAACAGAGCCAACCAGCTGACCAATCAGAGCAGACTGGGGTTTGGTTTCAGACAGAGGGTGAAAATAGGTGCGGCAGCACAGGAATTATGAGAAAAATAAAGAGCTTTTTGAACATTAAAGCATGGAAACATGTCACGGTAGAGACACTATATATAAATATGAACCTGAAAATTAGCATGATAGGGCCCCTTTAAGTGTGATGCCATCTTGTGCAACTATGACTATCGACCTGTTAAAGAAGAGCACTGGGAGACTTCACAACTCTTTTTCCTAATACTTTGATATCCCTTATGACTCCTGTGAAGATGTCCTCTTACCACCTTTTAGTAGAATGGACTAAGCCTCTGTAATGAGTGCTAAAAGCTTTTCAAGAGATAAAGCGCTTCCCATTCCTCTTGCAAGTTGCCATGTATATGTAGGATAATGTGGAATTCCAAAGGCAAAGTGTGGTCTTGTTCACTAGTTTTAAGCCTTCAATACAGCATGTGTTTTTAATGTCTTTGATTTGATCTTAGAAACGTAACTACTGTATATCATGTGTTTTCAGTTCATTAAAGTTATTATTAACATGTTGGTTGTTAAAAATTTCTTCTTTAGTGTTTTGTTGTTTTTAGCTCTAAACTCTTGTGACACTTCTTGATGAAAAAAACAAGATGGCGATGTCCAAAAACCAAAACATCAAACTCAAGTCTTCAAACCCATTGTAGACAAACCAATGATTGAATGCATTTGTGTTGCATTTATCATATTCTATCAATCTAGGGATACAAGTAAAGTTTGGAGAACTTTTAAATATAATTTCCCTTAAGCAAATCTTTACAACCTGCACTGAGAAAAATCCACTTTCTGTTACGTTTCCAAACCAGTCGCTCCTTCAGGAATCGGGCCTGAAGTGTGATGGAAGAAGAACAATCGTTTTTCTTTGGAGTAAATTTTCCCTCCGAGCTACTGGCAAGATTTTCTTGTTCTTACTGTAACTTTGAAGTGTTGCAGCCTCCCACAAGGTCTGCTTCACTTCACTTACTGCAGCTTTGTTTCGACATTCCCTGTTTCTCAAAACAACTTGTGGGGCGATATAACATTTTTGCATCTGACAGATTGCAATGTAAAATTATGTTGAGGTCTCTCGATGCAACAAATCCAACAATGTTGAGAGCAGCATTATTCTCCTCCTCTGCAGGTGTTCAGGTTCACTTAAGAGAGTTGGGCCTGTTTAGTTCTTGGGGGAAGACAAGTTACTGTTTTTCTTTACACCTGCCTTTCCTGTACTCTACATCCCTCCACCGCATACTTCTGTTTTCACCATGTACTATTCTGTATTTATCCTCCCATGATGCATCATTGATGGACCCACGCAGCTTCAAGTAAGTACCCCTGTTTTTTTTTACTGGACATATCGATTCTCCAAATTCCAAAAATAAACACTTTTACTGAAAAATGTATTTTTCACAGTTGTGTTGGCATGCATTTACACTTAAAGGTGGGGTATGTCATTTACTTCAGAAACACTTTTTGTTGTATTCCATGGAATGCTCTTAAAGAGCAACTTGCAGGTTTTTTTTTTTCTACATTTATGCTTAACCTTGCCTGAAAATTACAATTAAAAATGTTAATGCAGGATTTGATATGTTTTACAAGACATAAGGGCAGGAATTCAGAGGAAAAGGAGCCGTTTTGAGCTCTGCTACTACTTTCTCGGACTCGTTTTCTGCCCAATCTGCGGTAGTAGTTTGTAGTTGGTTTGAGCGGTTGTGATTTAGTGAGCTGGTATTTTCTCGGTAATTTTACATTGCATTTCACCATTTGTAATCATGGTGAGCTTATTTTTGTGCAGGTTGCAAACACGAGNGAAATTTCATGTTTTTTTTCCCATGGAAACCCTAGTTGTGATTAGTAAACCGCTAAGAGATGTCCTAGCGCTCCAACACATTGAATGCGGCCAAGGGGCGGGACATCTCTTAGCGGTTTACTAATCACAACTAGGGTTTCCATGGGAAAAAAAACATGAAATTTCAACATTTTTTTTATAGTAGAACAGAACAAGTTTNGGACATCTCTTAGCGGTTTACTAATCACAACTAGGGTTTCCATGGGAAGTTAAGCTGGGGAACTTTGGAAATATTCGATGAAAATTAAACAAAAAAACATGAAATTTCAACATTTTTTTTATGTTTTTTTGTTTAATTTTCATCGAATATTTCCAAAGTTCCCCAGCTTAACTTCCCATGGAAACCCTAGTTGTGATTAGTAAACCGCTAAGAGATGTCCCGCCCCTTGGCCGCATTCAATGTGTTGGAGCGCTAGCAAATAGAAGCAGGAGTGTTACACACTGATGTCACTATTTGGAAGTAAACAAAGGAGTCCAATCAAGGTGTTTTAGGCAGGGGGGGAGTGTGTGGGAGGGAAACTCCATCTGGAGGGAGATTTTAGCATTTGCAGACCGTTTACATGCACAGAAATCTATAAAACACACTACAGGAAAGGGAAAGCCCAAAAAGGCACAATAGGGTCTCTTTAAAATAATCATGTTGGGTGCTTTGTTTTCTGTGTGCCCTTTACATCTATTTGTAATTATTCATTCCAACGCCACAAAGAGTACAATTTCTTTTTAATTGACCAAATGACAAATAATAAATAAGATTAAATGTCATTTGTTAGACGCTTTTATCCAAAGCAACTTACACACTCGATACTGTAGTGTAGGCAATAAAAAGTGTATTTATTTAAGAAAAAATATATACCGGTATATATATTTCGGATGTGTAATTAAGTAGATCATTTGTTTATACATAACTTAGAATCAGTAATATTTTTGTATTTGACACTGCTTAATGTTGTATTGTATAATAATTATCATGTAAAATGTTTGTATTATTGTTTTACACATTCAAAATCAAATCAAATCAAATCAATCCCCACATGAGCAATTTGGGGGCGAAGTTGACATGCTGCAGTACATGCTGACTGCAGTGGGGGATCGAACCAGTGATCCCTTGATCCAAAGTTCAGCACACTATCCCACTGAGCCACAGCCTCCCCCAATCAGAGGTTCTTCAGTCTTTATCTTGGAAACTGTCTCCTCTCAGAATTAACAAACTTCTACAAACACGTACTGAGTTTGTTGTCGGTTCTTGCAGGCGTTACTGTGTGATACTAACCTTCCACATGCTGGCTTCCTTGCCGTACACAACAGCCATATTGTTAACCTTGTTCCGCTGAATGTTCTGCTTCTCCGTCTCATTCAGCTCCTCCGCCACAAAACCCATGAAAGAGTTATCAGGAGTGTGGGCTGCCAAGGACAAACAAAGCAATTGGCAACACAAAGTGACAAGCCAAATGTACGCCCTAAAACAAATGTGATTAAACCGAAAGATCTGCTGTAAATGTTGCCACACAAACACAACTCTAGTTTTTTAAAATAGAAAATACAGTTTTTTCGCTTTCTCATCATTTATGACTGACTTTCATTGCATAGCAACACGAAGCATGGAAATAAATTGTACATTTGGGGGACGAAAAAAGGAAGTTGGATTTCTGAAAAGCCATTTTTCTTTGTAATCTTTGAAAAAGTTGTAACCTTCAAGAGTTTTGGATTGCAGCTTTACTTTGACACATTTTACAACTTCTCTAAAAAAAAGCTGTGAACTGGAGCAAACACAAAGAGAATTTACTACGGCAGGGAGATGTCAAGTGGGAAGAAAAACAAAAACAGTGTTTCCAGTCAATTTGCAAACCCGAGATGAAAGCTGACGTCTTTCACAGAGCCGAGCTTTGTGATAACCGCAAGTCATTTGGAAACAGTGCAGCTGTCGATTAACGCTGAATTAATCAGAAACGAACACCTGAAGGTTTCTTCTGTCGCACATTTAACCAAACGTGCCATGAAGGCATGTGTGTCTGTACATTTCTGTGTGTGTACATTCTGGTGTGGTGGTGGTTAGTCAGAGCCTGGCTCCAGGCATCTGTTCAGGCTCGGCAGCTCTGAACGACTTCTCTGAACCGTTTTGGCCCAAAGCCTCGCCTGTTCCGGTCTGACGACTTTATAAACTCACAATCTGCTCGCCCTCTCGGTCACATAAACACGGACGAACACCTGCACAGATCAAAACACTTCATGTCTTTCATATCATCAGTCAGAGAAATGAAAGCCCACATACGGAACATGGTCATGTACTGCTGGCCGTGGAGGTTCCAGTAGCCCCAGTTTGTCCGGTAGCCGTGCAGGATGGCGTACTCCTCGTGGTTATAAGCAGGCTCCGTGCCGAAGGTGTCAATCACACGGATGTGGCACCTGGGACAAAATAAGAAATGGGCTTAGCTAAAATTAGATCACAGATTTCTCTCGCTTTCAAATAATACAGTCTCTAAAGATTGAGTGAGAAAAACAGAAAGTGAAAAATGATTCCACCCAGCTTGGGATATTTCACCTAATGTAGTTTGCCTGCTTGGGAACCGGAGGAATCTGCAAGCTCATGTTTTATTTGCAGATGCATCCTGTCCCCTCGGTTTGGACAGAGATCTAGCAGCCTGAGTTTTTCCTGGCAAATCATCTATGGGGCTTGTCTGTGAGGATGACTGTAAAGAAGAACGCTGTAGAGGCATTATTTAAACAACCGGGGAGGTTGCAGATGCAGTCAAACTTTTTGAAGTTGCTATCGTGTCACTGTGGAACAATCTGGACGGTATTCTTTTCGAAAAGATGCACAAAAAACAGAAAACTTTGTAGTTATATAAGATACAAAGAACTAATATATATTGTTAAACATTGAAAGTAACTTCATCTTAACTATAAATACGAATGCCTCAAATGCTCGTCCCCGCCAGCGTTTTCTTTCTATGATGTATTATGTGTTATTGGTTCTCTAGAGATCAATGAAATGCAAGACACAGTTTTTGCAACTGGGACATTTCTGGTTTCATCCATAAAGCATTTTATTTCTAAAAGAAGAAAAATGAAATTGCACCTAAAGCTTCACTTGTGTACAAAGATGTTTGCCGTCCTTTTGATAGGATTTTGAGTTGAACAAACAAACAAACAAACTCATAAGACACCAACATGTTTGTTTACATTATATTTTTTTAATGTATTGCGTGCCCCACCCTAATGGGTTGTTATGCGCTGGTACTACTGTACTGTGATTGGCCCTTAACACCAAGTAGACCTAGTAATTGGTCACTAAGTGCTACATCACTGAGACTTAGATTAATTGACCCTTGTGATTTGGTCTGAAGATGTCAGTCCACATGTATGCCTTTTCTCTCAATAACAGGACAGCCATGTCAAATATCAGTCTTGTGTTGATCTTTGTGAGTTAATCTCAGCCCTCAGTCTTGTTGTCAGAGTTTTATTTTGTGAAGCTGTCAGTGGTGATGGATATCCTTGTCCCCTGCCGGTCGCCCCTCATTCAGTACAGGTTACACAAGCCTCACGGTGAGACGTCTGAGACTTTGAAAACACAGCTTTGTTTCACAGCCATCACAGCGCCCTCGAAAAAAAAGATCCTGACACAAGCTGGAAAAGTCTGAGACAAAGTTGAGGGAAAACGATTTTGAGAATTTAAAGAAGATGCGTAACTTTTTTGCCCTGCGTGAGTCTCTTCACAATAAATGCTTAACATACTTTCTGACAATGTGAGGCAACTCCTCCACAGGGAACAGATCGTCTTAAAATATGTTTTGTTCTGCTCCTGTAACAAACTCAGGCTGAAAACACTCAGAGGAGACATTAAGCATTTAGTTTACAACGACAGAAGAAGAACATTACATCAGCACTTTGTCAGCAGTGAATATATTCACACTGGGAAGCAAGAAAATCAATTAATGTAATCCAAACGGAGATTTCTCAATGCATTGCCTGTCTAACCAGTGTCAGGGCAGGAGGGGAAATTAAAGTATTGGTCTTTCACTCGGTGACAGCTGAGGAGCGCTGGTCGATCAGCTGACCTTGGACTGGCGCTGATTGGAATCAGCAGAGGTTTTCAATGCTGTCCAACCTCGTCTTTGAGGATCCAAACGAAGGATGAATTATTTAGAAATGTGTTATTAATTTAAGACGGCAACCGACTCCTTTGATGCATGAGTGTTGAATAAACAGAAACAGCAACACAATAAACTGTATTACACCTCCATGATTACCTTTTGTCAAATAGGTTATGTTTTCAGTTTGGTTTGTCTTCTCTCTATTTCAGCAGGATTACAGAAAAACCACCAGCCCAATTTTCATGAAACTTGGCGTAAGTGTGAAGCATTGGCCAAGGACAGCACCATTTCAATTTGGAGCGGATCCAAATCACAGGGTGTGTACACGCATTACTTCTCACTTATAAAACAGGCCAGGCGGAGCTCTACGCTCTCCCATTACATTACATTACATTACATGTTACTTGTTAGACGCTTTTATCCAAAGCGACTTACACACTCAATACTGTGGGCAATCCCCACAGGAGCAATTTGGGGTGAAGTGTCTTGCCCAAGGACACAACGACATGCTGACTGCAGTGGGGTTTGAACCTGTGACCCCCTGATCCAAACACCAACGCACAACCCACTGCACCACAAGCCTCCCATTGCCCTTCTAGTTATCATTAATATCACATTTCTTTCACTGTGTTCTCCAACTCATTTTTTATTTTTAGAAATATATTTTCTTCCGAGTTGCATTAAAAAAGTGTTTGCATATTTTCTCTTTGTTTGGATAAAGAAAAACAAAGGATTTGCTTTCACACTGTGACTGCTCCAGTGCTGCCAAGCTGGAACAAAACAATTGAATTTACAGAAAGAAATGAGCTTGTTATCGCTCAGAACCATGTAGCACGTACATCATTCATTTCAAGCAGAAACCTACTCCAACTTCCCCTGTGTGATGAAGAGCAGAGGTTTTGGTTAAGCCTGCACCTTGTTGATTGATTACTGTGTAAATGCCCAAAATGGAGATTTTTTGCTGATGCACAGTGAGGTTACAATCCAAGTGTGTACCAGCATGTCACATCAGCCAGTCAATAAGGATAAAGTGAAGAATAAAGCAATACATGTTAATTAAAATAGAGGTACAAAGTGAAAAGACCCATATAAAGACAGAAAGATAGCATTGGACTGACTTGTGCTTCCTCAGCGACAGACCCATGTGCTGCTTCATCTGCTGCAAGCCGTGGTAGTCGGTGTAGATGAGGTCAAAGGGCAGAGGTCCCGTGAGAGGGCAGCTTCCTCTTCCAGGAGGGACGCCCAAAAACCTGCAGACAGGTCAGATGCCGTATTAGCCTCAAACTGAGCAAAACGGTGTGCACAGTGGAATACAACAAACAATCACCGTTATCCCACAGAAGAGATGAAGCACACAACACAGAAAAAAGGCTCCCTGAGAGATTTTCAAAAGCCATTGTACAGCGATGACAGATCAATCACAATCATAAAAGGACGGTAAAGAACAAAAAAGCACGAAGCATAACAATCCAGTGAGACACAAACAACCTGACTTTCTGTAGCTGCAATTTCACTAAGGCTGTGGGTGCTTTTATATGTTTTATCAGGAGAAGCGAGGACGGAGAGAGAGTTGAAGACAGATCAAATAAAAGAGCCCAGTTGCGTTGTGAAGCATGTCAGTGCTATCAGTGCACCTGGTGAGCCATTTAACCAAACAATACCGAATCCATCAGTGATGTCTCGCCACGGGGAGTCGCCCCAGTTTCACAGGGAAGACTTGTTTTGGCTAAAGCCCCTGTCACACTGTCCCGAAATTGACACCCGATGGACACACGAATATGGAATTGTGAATTTCGCACGAAGATGGCCCCGAACCACACACGAAGGCAACATTTACATTACATTTAAGACATACAACTGCAACGAAAGTAACACAAACAATTATGTTAAAGTATTATGATACTGTACTGATATTTTCCGACTTTGTTCTTTACTTTCTCCGTCTTTATAATTATGTAGAAGATATTAAGTTTTCTCCGTCATGTTGTTTCCATAGCAACAACAACTTCCTCGCCTTCAAAATAATATATTATATCCTTTTTAGTTTCACAGAACACAAATTGGGTTATTTACATAATATGTTTACATGATTTTGTTGTGCAATAAAACAACCAGATGGACACACGATAAAGGAAAAGTTCAAATTCGGCTCTGATCGTAGCAACATCGGGCCATTCGTGAGGGCATCTTAAGCCATCTTTGGCATGCCAAAGATTTTGCCACCGCTCCCGAAGTTGCTGCCGGAGCCTGATAAATTCCACCGGTGGTCATACGATGGCTGATGATGCCCTCACGAATCGCCCGATGTTGTTACGATCAGAGCCGAATTTGAACATTTCCTTAATCGTTTGTCCATCGGGTGTCAATTTCGGGACAGTGTGACAGGGGCTTCAGCAAAAAACACACATATGATATGAGGCACGCAGCTTGTAACCACACGTCATGATGAATGCAAAGGGATTGTGGTGTTTTTCATAAGACCATGCCAAGCACGTACTGCATGAATGCTTCAGGAGTGCCACATGGATAACAATGTCTGTGATGTTACTTTAATTGGGGCTTAAATATCTCAGCATGTGATGGCCATGACATTACGTGGAGACATTCATGGTCGCCAGAGGATGAATCTTGCTGACTTTAGTGAACCTGACATTTCCTTCCACTGTGAGGTTGACCATATTGAATGAATGAAGTTCAAACAATCATGTTCCACAGAAAATGAATATACTACATTTTATCCCCATGACTCTAAATCTTCGTCACCACCAGTTCAAATTCTTTGTGTGTCCAATACTTTGTGTTACGAACAAACCCCGGAAAACGAATGACATTCCCATAAACCTCAATTCTACTTTGGGATTAGGGTTTATTCAGCTAAGTTTAGTGTGCTATCTAAAATAACATAGTGAGCATAAATTACACCTCCATATTATTTCTTCCTTGATTACACAGTGCACACTACATTAAAGTATTTAAATCAATTTAATATCATCATCATGATCTTTATTTAAAGAGACTCTTGGTCCATTATTACAAGACATACAACACTCAAATATAAATTAAAAAAGGCAGTTATACCAATGTTTCCACAGAGGTGACTGGTAT